ACGCGTTTTCTTTTGCTAATATGTTTGTGCTTGTGAATGGGTTCGTGTATGTGGCCAGGTTTTCACTAGTGAATAGGCTTGTATCTGTGCATGCGTTTGTGCTTGTGACTATCGTTGTTAGCGTATGTAAAAGATTATTATCTGTGATTTTGTAAATGACTTTGCTTATATTCATGACTATGTATCTATATCCAATTTTGCCACTATTTTTGTACTTGCAAATATTGCTGTGCTTGCGAATATATTTGTCCTTGTGAATATTTTTGTTCTTGAGAATATAATAATACGTGATAATAATTTTTGCTTGAGAATATGATTGTGTTTGATATTATTTATGTTCTTGAGAATGTGTTGGAGCTTAAGAATATTTTTTGCTTGAGAATATGTTTGTATTTAAGAGAATGTTTGTGCTTGAGAGTGTATTTGTGCTTGATAATATTTTATTGCATGTTAATGTTTTTTGAACATGAGAATATTTTGTGCTTGAGAATATTTTAAAATGAATGAGAATGTACATATTTATGAACATTTATATGGTTTTAACGATATGTAATTGGGAATATTTGTGCCTGCGAATGCTTGTGAATGTGCTTGCGAATGTATGTGCTGAGAATGCTTATTATGTGAATATTTGTGCAAAATTTTTTAGTGCTTTTGTGTGTGTGAATATGATTAAGTTTGTGAATTTTACTTTTGAGTATTTGCGCTTGTTTGTTATTACTCTATTTAATATTTTTTGTATATATGAATTTTTTTCTATGATAATGAATCAAATTCATATATATACACATTTTATATATACACAATATATATTTATAAATACACGCTTGGGGATGAGTTTAGGCTTGTATTTTGTGTTTCTTTAAAAATGTGCTTGTTGATTTTTTTGTGCTTACGAATTATGTTTTTTTTTTTTTGTAAAATTTGTTGTGCTTGTAAATTTTTGTTAGCTTGTGATATATAATTTCCCTTTTCAATTTTGATATGCAAAAGTATTATGTTGTGTTTGAGAATAGGAATATGCTTTTCAATGTTTATTTTCAATTAAGTTTTCGTTTGGAAGATGATAGTGTTTGTCAAAGTTTGTGCTTGAGTATTATTTGTGCTGTGAAAGTTTGTGCCTGAGTAATTACCTAAGTGCAATTACCTAAGTGTAGTTACAAGAAGAGAGCTACGCTCGTGGTGTCCCGTCTTCCCAGTACTCTTTGTCGAATAACGCTTTGAAACTACTGACGTGTGAGTATTTGAGCTTGTGAAAGTTTGTGCTTGAGAGTGTGAGTATTTGTGTTTGTGAAAGTTTGTGCTTGAGTGTGTATTTGTGTTTGTGAAAATCTGGGTTTGAATGTGTGAAAATTTATGCTTGAGAGTGTGAGTATTTGTGTTTGTAAAAGTTTGTGCTTGAGCATGTGTGCATTTATTCTTGTGAAAGTTTGTGCCTTTAATATATTTGTGTCTATATTCGCTTCAGTGCTTGTTATTTTATTAATGCTTGTGTATAATTTTGTTCTACTAGAGAACATGATTGAAACAAGAACATTCATATGAATATATCTATGCTTATAAATAAACATGAATTAGTTTGAACATATAAATAAGGTATCGATTGGAAATAATTATTCAAAATTAGTAATATATATATGTGCTTGTAAATATTTTAGATTGAGAAATTATTAATACTTGTCTAATTGTCTTCATTTATTGTGTGATTCGGCTTGTAGTATAGTGAATATCGTGCTTGTGACTCTATTTGTGTGTGTGAATAAATTTGTGCTTGAAAATAAATTTATGTTTATGATGGCGGTTATAATTGTGGGTATGCTTATGAATATGTGTTTGTGAATATATTTGTACTTGAGAATACAGTTATGCTTGTAAATATGTTTGTCTTTTTTAATAATTTTGTGATAGAATATCTGTACAGTAATTAATGTTTGTGTCTGCGAAAGTTTTTGCTTTGAAAAATAGTTGTGCTTGTGAAAATGTATTTGTACTTAGCATTATGTGTGCTTATAATTTTTCGTGGGTTTGAGTTTCTGTGCTAGAATTTGTGTTGTTAGTATGTCTGTGTTTGTGTTAATGTGTGTAATTGTTTTGATTTTGTGCTTGAGTACAGTTCTACGCTTGAGTTAATATCTGCGATTTTTATTATATTTAGGTGTCTCAGTGCTTTTTATTATAATTATTGCTAGTTTATACTCGGGTTACAATTTATGCTCGTAATGTGTTGCTGGTCTGTGTGTTTCACTCTAAACATGCGTTATTTTGTCTTGCAGGTAATTGTGTTGATCATTTTGCGTCCTGCTCATGGTTAAGTGTTGTCCTTAAGGCCCAACAACCTCACGGATTGTTAAGGACATAAAAAAAAGTTTAGTAAAGTTACTTCTCAGCGTATATACAGTGAAGAGTGGAATATAGCTCTCGGTAAGTATATCGAACAAGTAAAATATGCTGTTGTCCTGAACACAGTTATAGACTAAAGTACACTTGCAGGGTATATCCTGTGCAGACGATGAGTCACAATAACGTGGCTAAAGTATGTTGACCAGACCACACACACTAGAATGTGAGGGGACGACGACGTTTCAGTCCGTCCTGGACCATTCTCAAGTCGATGTGAGAATGGGTATATCCTCTTTGAGTAGCTGGGAACACATCTAGGTGTTTATATATTCTTATGGACTCGTGTTGGCTCTGCAGGTGAACTTCAGGTCTTATCAACCTCGGGATAGTTGTTAGGGAAACTAAAACATCTTGCTGATAAACCAGCAAGTGTAGTTTATTTCTGAATTCCTGACTAAATGAAAATCATATTGTACCGAGAAATGGGGCGAGCCAGCAAGTATAATTTAAAACTGATCATAGTTTGTGCCTAATTAGACTCGTAGTATATTTACACCGAAAAGTAAGGTAGACGTCTTTGGGGCATATATCGCTCAGAGTTCTGTGTTAAGATGTAAGGCCTATCAACCTCTGGGAGGGTTATTAAAAGACCACCGCAAGTGCTTACTGACCAACCAGCAAGTATACTGTAGTCCTGGACATAGTCCAGGACTACAGTAAGCTCTCAACGTTTACTGTAGTCCTGGACTACCCCACTACCCTGGACTACCCCGGCTTGTCAGTGGGGTAAATACCCCACTGACAAGCGGGGAATTTACTCTCCGTGTATATATCTCTTTGTTAAAAGCATCTCTTTCAGTACTATGCTTCCTGAAAAGCAACACGTTCTGTACTATGCTTCCTGAAAAGCAATACGTTCTGTACTATGCTTCCTGAAAAGCATCACGTTCTGTACTTTGTTTCCTGAAAAGCATCACGTTCTGAACCATGCTTCCCGAAAGCATCACGTTCTGTACTATGCTTCCTGAAAAGCATCACGTTCTATACTATGCTTCCTGAAAGGCATCACGTTCTGTTCTATGCTTCCCGAAAAGCATCACGTTCAATACAATTCTTCCTGAAAAGCATCACGTTCTGTACCATGCTGCCTGATGCATTAGTGCTTGCTTGCTTCCGGTGATGAGCTGTATTGATTTTCCAGTTTTGGTCGTTCATTTGTTCCTGTTGACGGGAGTGCCTCCTGCTCCTGGCTTGTGTACAGCTCATTGCTTGGACTCTAATGCCTGTGCTATCATTGCCAGGATTTATGGTGTTACGGGATCGTTTTGGTTTATAGTTGTGCAAACTGCTTTTTGGCTTTTCATGTTTATGAAACGTAAACACATGTTCATGTTTTCTGATAAACAGAAAAACCGGCTTTTTTCCGATATCAGAAATACACATGTTTTTTTTCTGGTAAACAGAAAAAATCACACGTTTTTCTGATAAATAGAAAAACACATGTTTTTGTCTGATAGAAAAAAAAATATGTTTTTCTGTTAAGTATGGTTATGTTGGCATAGGTTAGGTTAGGTGAGTTTAGTTTAGTTTAGGCTAGGTTAGGCTTGATTAGGTAAGGTAAGGTTGGGTAAGATTATGTTAGGCTAAGCAAGGTTAGACTAAGCTAGGTGAGGTTAGATAATGTAATGTTAGGTTAGGTAAGGTTATGTTAGGAAAGGTTAGGTTAATGTAAGGTGATGTTAGGTTAATGTAAGGTGATGTTAGGATAAATTAGGTTAGGTAGGGTTAGATTAAGCCTAGGTATGGTTAGGTTAGGTAATGTTAGATTAAGGCTAGGCAAGGTTAAGTTAGATAACGTCAAGTGGCGAATGCTAGGTTAGGGTATGTAAGGGCAATGTTATATTACGTTAGGCTAGCATATTTAAGGTTTATATCATTAACCTAATATAATTAAAATTGAACCTGATTATATAAAACATTAAGTTTCATATAATTTTGTCATTATACTTTCGTATATTTTGTGTCCATTTACCGCTGTATTTGCAGTCATACATGCGCAGAACATTGCGTCGCGTCGACATGTTTCAATTGCTCTATGCTCTTTTTCATAGACATGTTTATATGTTTGTGGGGCGCTAAATAAAACTTCGTATTTTTGTGTCGGGGGTTAAAAATTGTGTGTGTGTGTGTGTGTGTGTGTGTGTGTGTGTGTGTGTGTGTGTGTGTGTGTGTGTGTGTGTGTGTGTGTGTGTGTGTGTGTGTGTGTGTGTTTTTCTAGCCTCCACAAGGTGAGGTGTGCAAAAATCGCCTTGTTATCGTGGTGTATTTTGTGTGTGTGTTTGTCTTAATACTTGTGATCAATTCTTGTCTTTGTGGACTGCTGTTGTTGCATTATTCTGAAGGACGAGTGCTTGCTCGCGCTATTAAAGTGATAGAGTAACTTGGAGCTCGTGTACGAGCGTGTACGTTCTGCTTGGCGTTCATGTAAGAGAATGCGTTGTTTGGCGTTAATGTAGAAGAATGCGTTCTGCTTGGGGTTCACGTAGAAGAATGCGTTCAGCTTGGCGTTCACGTAGAATAATGCGTTCAGCTTGGCTTTCACGTTGAAGAATGCGTTCAGCTTGGGGTTCACGTAGAAGAATGCGTTCTGTTTGACGTTCATGAAGAATGCGTTCCGATTTTGTTCTTGCTCTTCTTATACAGTTTTTCAGTATGGAAGATTGACAGCATTTAATGGTCTTCATCCTGCCTCATGCTTGATACTGCATCGTGCTGCATCATACTTCATCGTGCTGCATCATACTTCATCGGCTGCATCATACTTCATCGTGCTGCATCATACTCCATCGTACTGCATCATACTTCATCGTTCTGCATCATACTCCATCGTGCTGCATCACACTTCATCGTGCTGCATCACACTTCATCGTGCTGCATCATACTTCATCGTGCTGCATCATACTTCATCGTGCTGCATCATACTTCATCGTGCTGCATCATACTTCATCGTGCTGCATCATACTTCATCGTGCTGCATCATACTTCATCGTGCTGCATCATACTTCATCGTGCTTCATCGTGCTACATCGTACTTCGTCGTACTGCATCATACTTCATCGTGCTACATCATACTTCATCGTGCTGCATCATACTTCATCGTGCTGCATCATACTTCATCGTGCTTCATCATACTTCATCGTGCAGCATCATACTTCATCGTGCTGCATCATACTTCATCGTGCTCCATGGAAACCCAAGTCTGCACAAGGGATGGAAGACAGTTCAAAGATGCGAAGTAATGACTATGTTGGTCTGGCGGAACTGACGCTGCATGCTTATGTTGTCAGCTCTGCTGTATTATTTCGGCGTTGTATTAATACATTTGTGTTGTATTTCAATAGCGCATATTTCCATTTGCTGTTAGTTGTATTTCTGTTCGTTTTGCTGTTGTCTGTTTAACAAGGGGAAACTAGTCGGTAAGGCTTTCCGTGAGGTTTGGGAAGGGAAATTTCCTAGCTGAGAGGAGTCTGAAGTTCTCTATTCCTGTACTGTAACATTTTGTACTCGGGAGCCGGTCGGCCGAGCGGACAGCACGCTGGACTTGTGATCCTGTGGTCCCGGGTTCGATCCCGGGCGTCGGCGTGAAACAATGGTCATAGTTTCTTTCACCCTGTGCCCCTGTTACCTAGCAGTAAAATAGGTACCTGGGTGTTAGTCAGCTGTCACGGGCTGCTTCCTGGGGGTGGAGGCCTGGTAGAGGACCGGGCCGCGGGGACACTAAAAAGCCCCGAAATCATCTCAAGATAACCTCAAGATGTCGAGCGTGAATGTTGTATGGAGAGTCGTATCTGTATGAAGTGACCCCGCACCTCATCACTTGTCTGTAATGAAACTTTTCCAAGGACGCAAAACCAGGCAACTTGATCAAGATACAGAGTCTATTACTAAGTGCTTGTGTGAGAAATTATTGATGGGTGTGTAAGGCAAGTGCCGCTGTAGGAGGCAAATGAATGAAGTATCAGGCAAGTGCCGCTGTACCAGAAAATTTAATGCAGTATCAAACGTGATGATGAATCGCCCAAATGAATTTGGAGGATACAAATGCATTCGACCAGAGAGGTAATGTTAAGGACCAGTGGTATAAAGATCAGGTGTAGTTATTAAAGAGCCCAACAAACATTGGCAGGTTTCAAGAGTGAAAAATTCAGACGTGTGATTAAAGGTTAAGGAAAAATTACGCATAGTTATAAAGTTTGAAACAGAAAGATTCAGATTGTAAACGAGGTTCACAATTTTTTGCAAAATGCAGACAGATTACGTTACAAAATGGAACATAACCTGTTAGTTTGCGTGTGCGTGTACCCAGTCCTCTTGAGCGTTCCCAACATCACTAAACTGATGTGCTAAATTGCCCGAACCTAACCTAACCGAGGACCCAGGAATAAAAAACGAGACCACGTCAATTTTGCGAGCCGCTATGATTTTTAGAACACCAGTTTATGGCCTTAGGGGGATTTATACATCAAAATGCGATGTGCTATTTTAGAGGACGTGTGTGTGTGTGTGTGTGTGTGTGTGTGTGTGTGTGTGTGTGTGTGTGTGTGTGTGTGTGTGTGTGTGTGTGTGTGTGTGTGTGTGTGTGTGTGTGTGTGTGTGTGTGTGTGTGTGTGTGTGTGTGTGTGTGTGTGTGTGTGTGTGTGTGTGTGTGTGTGTGTGTGTGTGTGTGTGTGTGTGTGTGTGTGTGTGTGTGTGTGTGTGTGTGTGTGTGTGTGTGTGTGTGTGTGTGTGTGTGTGTGTGTGTGTGTGTGTGTGTGTGTGTGTGTGTGTGTGTGTGTGTGTGTGTGTGTGTGTGAGTGAGTGAGTGTGAGTGTGTGTGTGTGTGTGTGTGTGTGTGTGTGTGTGTGTGTGTGTGTGTGAGTGTGTGCATGTGTGTGTGCATATATGCTTTATGTGTACGGGCCTGAGAATATGTGCATGAGAGTATAACGCATGTGTATGTATATACAAATGAGTTTGTGTGCATGCTCGCGAACCTATGTATATGTATAGGCGTGAGTGTGTGTGTGTAGTTCATTAACTCCGACAGTATTGGCAGCATTCTATTCATTCGGTTAACAGTTGAGTATTTCCAGGAATCATCTATACATCACATAAATAGTCCCCGCCATATTTCCAACAGTATTGTTCCCATCCAAACCCCTCCTTGACCCCCCCCCCCAACCCAACCTCCACCTCCCCCCTAAAAAAAAGTAAAAAAGTTCATCTATAAATTCTGTGATGGACAACACATGTGATGGCACAGAACGGCCAAGTCACCAACGCTACGCCTGTGAGCACAGTGCTCTGTGTGACGAAATGTGTTGAAAAATGTTACGAAGCTCGTAGCTAGTCCGTGGATTTTAGGCGATTTAGTATATTGAGAGTTAGTATTATGGTCTGTCTTTGGCGGTATCTAGGCTACTGCAGCCTAACGGGAGGGTGAGGTGGTGAGTGTCTGATCTCCCAGTCCTGAGGCATTCCATGATCGTGCATTATTGAATGTTCAGTCATTTGAACTCATAAACCTGTCGTTAAAAGGTAGCTGGCAACTTGGGGATATCTTCATAATCCACCTAAAGGTTACTAGTGCTGGCTAGCTGTACAGCCACCCGCTTGCTTAGGTACGTTAACACAAAAAAGGTTACATTAGCTGGAGGCTACTGGACAGGTTGTGGTGGTGGGTGGAGCTGCGGTGGTGATGAGACCCATCATTTGACACTCTCAAGGTCTACTAGCACGCCACCACCATCTGCGTCAGACCTCTTGACACACTGTCAAGGTATACCACTACTATACTACCTGTGTCAGACCTTTTGACACATTGTCAAGGCCTACCAGCTCACCATCACCATCTGTATCAGACCTCTTGACACATTGTCAAGGCCTACCAGCTCACCATCACCATCTGTGTCAGACCTCTTGACGCTCTATCAAGGCCTACCAGGTCACCATCACCATCTGTGTCAGACCTCTTGACACACTATCAAGGCCTACCGCAACCATCACCATCTGTAGCAGGCCAGCCCTCGTCTATTACCTTCACCATACAAACGAGGACTTACCAACTTGAGCCTAAAGGAAATATTCACTACGCCATGAACTGTGATGCCGGGCGCATCCACCTTATAGGAAATGCATTCGAATGTGCATTAGGGTAGCTAGCTGGCTATCAGTTTGAGGTGTCATGGTTGTAATAAATGGGTGTGGTAGCGTTGTTTGGCAGAGTCCCGTTAGCCGAGGATAATCCAGGTGTGGGTCAGGTGTTTGACCCTAACTAAACCTAAAAGGGCTTAAGGGTTTGTGTGTGTGCATGTGTGGCTCCCGGAGGTCGCTTATGTCCATCCGGGAGAGGCGGCCCCCATCAAGGGCCTAACCCACAATATTGTTACCTGGAACAGAAAAAAAAGGAAAAGTGGGAAGCTGTGAGTACGCCTCTCTCTCCCTCCCCTTCCTCCCCCCTCCCACGCCTCCCTTCTACCTCAAAAAAATAAAAATAGGGAGGAAATGAATGAAGGATTAGATTTTATTTTGATTTTTTTGTTTTATTACTGCTCATATATCTGATTATTTGTTTAACTCTTGTATACGAGGGAGCAAAGTTAACTATATGTTTCCTTGCTTTATTATTCATTTGAGTTTTGACCAAGATAAGTGAGCTGATCTCAGAGTTACTTGAGAATGTTTTATTTGTCAGCTGGGAATGATTCAGTGTTTGTAGCAACATAATCTGACTAAAGACTAAAGGACAGTCATAATAAAAATGAATATTTACAGAGTAAAACAGTAATAAAAAAGGAATATATCCATTGTTAAACACCGTCATAAGAGGCAATATGTTAAGAAAAAATGTTTCGTTTGCATAATCTAAGCTCAAATTTGTGTTTCCTTCAATAATCATTGTTGTTGTACAGCAACATTAAAATATCACAACATTCAGCATATACGTTTATATTTTTTTAGTAAAAACATTATTAGATTATTTACTAAAAAATAGTAAATAATCTAGATATTATAGATTTTCAAATAATAGCTAATAAAATCTAGATATTATAGATTTTCTTAATTATAGATTTTTTTCTACGTTTGATTCGCTAAAATAATAAACATATTTACCATTTATCTTTCAAAAGGTTCTGAATAAAAAAACCTAAATTAAAATTTCCGAAAGCATGCCTATATATATATATATATATATATATATATATATATATATATATATATATATATATATATATATATATATATATATATATATATATATATACACGATTTGTTAATCGTGTTCCTGTTTATGTTTATCTGTATACATAAATAAATAATAAAGATAAAGAGGAACAAGATTAACAATTCGTGTTTATTTTCAAATAAATATTCTCGAAGGGAACCTCGATCTTCATATATATATATATATATATATATATATATATATATATATATATATATATATATATATATATATATATATATATATATATATATATATATGAGACAGTGTCAGACCACGGAGGAAGGATTAAGACATGAATATCCTTAAGCAATTTCGTATTTAATAACACATCTTCAGAAGGATCCTTCTGAAGATGTATTATTAAATACGAAAGTACTAAAGAAAATTCCTGTCTTAATCCTTCCTTCGTGGTCCAACACTGTTCATCACGTGTTAATTTCTTCGTGATTTAAACACACTTATAAATAAATAAATAAATAAATATATATATACATATTCGATATAAATAATTATATACATTGTTATTTAAAGGTGACGATTTTGTGAAAAAAAGCTGTGTGCCATGGTGTTGGAAGAACTGTTGACCATGGATGGTTGAGTGGGTCGGTCCACGGAAACGTGAGGCGGAATCGACGTTTTTGCGGCTTGGTCGGCCTCCCACAAGGCGATCTCTGGACAAACTTTCAAAACAATCACTCGCTGAAAATTACCTCTATCGCTAACGATAGATTTCCTAATCCAACGTTTCGGATATATAATTAAATTTCACGGCTTTTTGTTTGTGATGATGGGTTTTTTTAGGACATAAAATATTGCATGTGAGTAAAGTCTGAGCTTATAGGAAACGTTTTTGTTTCTACGGAAAGTTTTTGTTTGGATGCAAAATGTATTTAGTCATCGGGGTCGAGATTTTTAGTTAAGACGTTACTGCTGCTGCGTGGATGTTATTGTGAAACACGTTATCAGTGAAACATGTATATTGATACATACAACTTTTGTCCAATTCAAGATGTGTTTAACATATTGAAATGCATTTGATTAGTTATAGTAATTATGGTATTAATTTCTTTTCATCATAGTGTATGATAATAATAATTTTTTTCTTAGTTCACATGTAAATCGTACAAATAATTATTGGACACAAATCCTAACATTTACAGTTACTATGTAAAACATGATTTACAACTTCATACATTGAGCTGTTATCGTTCTAAATATATTAATTATATGTATGGAACATACACAAGTTCTAAGTGTAACCTTACAACAAAACTACACATTCCAATTAAATACACGTACAATAATAATATAAATAAAATTCACACACACACACACACACATATATATATATATATATATATATATATATATATATATATATATATATATATATATATATATATATATATATATATATATATATATATATATATATATATATATATATATATATATATATATATATATATATATATATATATATATATATATACATATATATATATATATACATATATATATATATATATATATATATATATATATATATATATATATATATATATATATATATATATATATATATATATATATATATGAAAAGACACATTTCAATGTAGGCTGGTGGTGAGTAAGATAGGCTACTAGACACAGAAAGGGTCGCGGCAGCATGGTGTGGTAGGCTAGGTACGCCACCACGCCTCTGCATGACCACCTACCTTGAGGCGCTTGCCAGGCCGGACGCTGGGGTCGTTAGTCTACGCAATACATGTTACTTGAGACACGCACTGTAGACACACACAGAATCTTGGAGTATCGTCCAACGTAAGTGTGATAGATACGCCAAGCACAACATTGATCGTAAAACCCCCGGAGCAGCGGCGCCTCTGCCTGCGCATGCAACGGTGTGCTTGCCGGCATGCACTGGGTCAATCCCTGCATGCACAAATCTACCACCCCTCCAAGCAACCCCCCGCAAGACCACAATCTTCCCTCTCATGCATTGATTCTCTGACTCAAGGGGGCGGCTCTGTCTTAGATTATGACTAATTATATCTACTTTTAGGATTCATAATGCATTAAGATGTTTGCAAGCATATTATCATAGATGGCCTCGGCGTGGCTCCCACTCAGGGAGGTCCCAAGCAACCCACCCGCTTGCCTTGTGGCTTGCCTGAGCGAACGCCATGTGCACCCCGCTCCCCACCGATCGATATTTCCTCGACCATGTTCTCTATTTTCAGATTACTCGCTTACCATTACAAGCGGCTGTGTTTTAGCATCCTTATTTACGATAAAGTGGATCTTTTAGTGTATTTTAAAGGTAAATGAAAGAAGATGACATTGGTTTATTCCCGTGTTCCAGAAAAGCTCGTCCAGAGATCTCAAGTTACAACAGCAAAGTTTGGCGTCTGCATCCGTCGCAGGGTGCTCCTGTTATGGGGGGGTGGGAGGGGAGGTAGGTTGGCAGCCCTGGCTAACTTATGAATCAAAACTGCTTTTCAGGCGCTGGCAGCGTAGTTGCTCCGTGCGGCCACCAGAGCGCACCACCTGACGCGACACATCTCACCAAAATATTCCCCCGTTAAATATTTTGGGGCTCGTGAGGGCCGACGCGGCCGACTTCACGAAGGCGCGTCCGGCGTGCCACGTGCACCGGCCAGTCATCATGTGAGGCGATCGGAAACTTCAGTCTGGGGAACAATTAACCAATTTTCGTGCCCAGGGGCCATGACTATTAGGACGGGAAGGTAATTGTCATACCTTGCATCTCTATAAAAAGAGATTGAATCTGCGTCAGCATAATATTGATATTAGTCCACAGATCAATCTGAATGATAATTTATACGCATTTCATTTATAATTATACAACCCATATAAGTTACGTTGTAGCTCTTCAGGTACAGCTGATGTCTACATTAATAGAATTATTATTTATTGCTATAAACAAATAATTATGTTTAATTATATAGGTGAATTGTTGAATACTCCGTCCCCCAAAAAATGTAAAATTGCGTTAGTCCTTGTAGAAGACATACTCTATAATGATACGTTAATATTTTAAGGAGTTGTAATTAAACTGCGATCAGTTTCATAAATTTAACAATTGGTAATTAAACAGTATATAAAATCCCAGTATGTAACATTATATGAGTATACGCCTATATCACAAAATATACAAGTCATACACGCGCGTGCGCGAGGTTGACTGCGCTTGAGAGTGCGCATAAGTTTGTTTATGTATGAGTGGAAAACACTTTTTGCATGAGGCTTCACCGCCGTTCATTCACCTTACAGATAACATGTGAACCCAGGTGTCCGCAACGTTGTCACACACAATGAACTTTAGGAAGGAAATTCTAACAGGAAATCTAATACATAAGCCTACATTACGTTAAAGGCTGTTCGGACTTGTAAGCTTAGTTACAATAATCTTAAAGTTTCAGTAATTCATTAATGATGAATAATACTGTACATGGCTCGCATGATAGTAGTCGTCAACTATGCACTACTCTCACACTCACTAGACAAGTTTGTATAAACTGCAGCCTATCCTTCTATTATGAGAGTAATAGTTGAATAACAACTAATCGGTCTAAAGTACAAAAGTTGGTTGTTACACCTCAAAAAGTTCATATGAGTATGTACTCATACCACAGGTACTCATTATTAGAGTATTACTGAATTAACCCAAATGACATACCAAATATATCGGAAATGTAAGTAAAGAAGCTAACTTAAGATATCCAAGTCTTAAATATGGAATCCTAGGCCTAATATATGGGATCTTAGACCTAATATGGTGCTATATTAGGCCTAGGAATTTTTAAGTGAGGTTTTTTGGCGTAACTTTTCGTTCCCCTCTACAAATTTAATAGTACGAAACATGAACATTGTTGCCTGAAACAGTTCATTTTTGTACGTTCGACCAAATAGTTGCAATAAGTACTATTATCATGTTAGAAGGATCTATTGCTAAACTGATATATCACTCCATTTTCCACGGTTATAATCGGCCATAACCATCTTAATTTCGCCTTGCTGGCTGAAACAGTTCATTTTTGTACGTTCGACCAAATAGCTGCAATAAGTACTATTATCATGTTAGGATGATGTATTGCTAAACTGATATATCACTCCATTTTCCACGGTTATAATCGGCCATAACCATGTTAATTTCGCCTTACGTACTTTACAACTGTTCATCTTCCTCGGAGTCGTCACTCCCTTCAGCTTCCAGCTTTTTCTTGTTGGCTTCCATTAACTCGAGGGCGTCGGACATGACAGCCGCCTTCTGCGAGGGACCCAAGTTCTCCGCCTCGATCTCCTTAGTGTCCACCAGAACCTTGAACGCCACGGATTTCTTCTCGTCATCACTCCCATCGTCCGTGTCGTGCTGTCAGGAACACCATCAATTATTAACAAACTCAGTATAACGATATTTTACATTTTAATTTCTACATATTTAGTAATGTACATAACACACACACACACACACACACATACATATATATATATATATATATATATATATATATATATATATATATATATATATATATATATATATATATATATATATATACACACACATAAGGTCATAAGTTAATAGGAGACAAATGGCATATCATTTACAGTAGTTCAGATGTCATTAGTAATAATATCACAGATGGTAAGGTTGGATTGCATCGTTATGCCTCGTCGTGAAGAATCATCTTAGTCTATTCCTTAAGATAATCTGGAGACTTCTACGCTTCTGTTATAATTTTTTCGAATGAATTCATGTAGGAACGTTTGGTGGTGTAATGCATTTTAGTTCACTAAGTATGTGGTTATTAGTACCGAAAATAATATTTTATATTGGTTTTCAGTTGTTTTGTGGTCGATGTAGCTGTATAGTTGAATTATATTAACCCGCCTTCAAATTAGAATCCATAGAAAACGGACGCGTCAGTAATGGGATAACTAGCATAGAAATTGTTGCTCAAACACCCCCCCACCACCCCTCCCTGCCATCTCTCTCTTAAACTCTTTCTTTGTCATTCTCATCTATTTTTTAAATACCGATGGAAAGAAATAAACAATAATATATAAATCAGCATCAAGCACTTATAGACAAGTGTATGGAGGGCACAAAGTGGTAGACATGTTGCAAGGAGCAACCTAAGGTCACAAGCACTTGTGGAAGACCTTACACAAACACCAGCTTGTCTTCCCAGGGCCAACACTGCTCGCGCTAAGTTTATATATATATTATATATATATATATATATATATATATATATATATATATATATATATATATATATATATATATATATATATATATATATATATATATATATATATATATATATATATATATATATATATATATATATATATATATATATATATATATATATATATATTCATTCAAATAAATACATGTAATAATATTTTCAAATAAAGTTAGATATATATACACACATACCAAAAGAATAGGGGTGGTAGGAGAAGAAAATATCAAAGTGTTCAGTGAGGTCTTCTCTGAGTACTCTTTATTTTCTTCTCCGAGGCTATGGGTCCCTACACTTGCACCAGAGGTGGTACCCCTTCTACGTTTATATATATATATATATATATATATATATATATATATATATATATATATATATATATATATATATATATATATATATATATATATATATATATCAGGAAAACTTGGCTTATTTGGCAAATCGGGCCTTGCATAGTAGCTGAGAAGTGCGTTCTGGCTACTAGGTACGACATATATATATATATATATATATATATATATATATATATATATATATATATATATATATATATATATATATATATATATATATATATAGGCATATATCGAGGTTCCCCAATGACGAACTACTGACCTTCTCGAGGATGCAACCCTCCACCACAAACTAACTTACCGGGTACCAATTTACTGCTAGGTGAACAGAGGCATTAGGTGATAGGAAAACGTGCCCACCCATTTCTGTCCCGTGAAGTAAGGGAGAGCTTTATGGATCAAGGGTTCACCAGTGGAAAAGCACATATCATACTCAAAGCTTGCTTTTCATTACCATTAGAGCTTAACTGAATTGGTAATTACGTAGTCATTGCCTCGTTATATAATTAATACTGTAAGTAGTTAAGGGGTAATTTGACAAGCTCTTTTCGGGCTTTCTGTCCCAGACAGGATATGCTCATGCTCAAATTTCTAATTTTATCATCGTGAAAGCAAGAAAACGAAGAATTCTAGCAATCATAAAGTTCTTAAGACAGGCATCTCATGTGTAAGAAAATGGTATATTTAGTATTTCGCTCTCTTGTGAATACACGTGTAGCAAGAAGAAATGACAAATACCAGGGGCTCACTCATACTCACAGGTAATACCAGGGGCTCACTCATACTCACAGGTAATACCAGGGGCTCACTCATACTCACAGGTAATACCAGGGGCTCACTCATACTCACAGGTAATACCAGGGGCTCACTCATACTCACAGGTAATAACAGGGGCTCACTCATACTCACAGGTAATACCAGGGGCTCACTCATACTCACAGGTAATACCAGGGGCTCACTCATACTCACAGGTAATACCAGGGGCTCACTCATACTCACAGGTAATACCAGGGGCTCACTTATACTCACAGGTAATACCAGGGGCTCACTTATACTCAGGTAATACCAGGGGCTCACTCATACTCACAGGTAATACCAGGGGCTCACTCATACTCACAGGTAATTCCAGGGGCTCACTCATACTCACAGGTAATACCAGGGGCTCACTCATACTCACAGGTAATACCAGGGGCTCACTCATACTCACAGGTAATACCAGGGGCTCACTCATACTCACAGGTAATACCAGGGGCTCACTCATACTCACAGGTAATACCAGGGGCTCACTCATACCCATAGTTAAGTGCTGTGCATTTAGCTTAGGTTACGTTAGGTAAAAGGCTAAAAAGTCTATTAACTGCTAGGATATTTAAGCCGGCAACCCACCTAGTTTATAAACTGAAAGTATACTGTAATCCTTAGAAAGAGTTCAGGATTAAAGTCAACTCTCATTCTTCAATGAGACATTTATATTTCAATGTATATACAATGAAAAATTAGTGTATATACAGTGATACAGGCATATCTCGTGGCTATACATTGATACATAGATCTCTGTGTACATTCAATGAGATACCTCTCAGTGCCCGTACAATGAGACATATATCTCTCAGTGAACATACAGTGAGACACCTGTCAGTGCTGGTACAATGAGACAGACACCTGCCAGTGCTCGTACAATGAGAATGACACCTGCCAGTGCTGGTACAATGAGACAGACACCTGCCAGTGCTCGTACAATGAGACAGACACCTGTCAAGTGCTCGTACAATGAGACAGACACCTGTCAAGTGCTGGTACAATGAGACAGACACCTGCCAGTGCTGGTACAATGAGACAGACACCTCTGGAGTATATATAGTGTGGAGTATATATACTCCACTCAGTAAAAGAGGGTGTTAGAGAACAAGTGGTGGAGGTACCTTAAGGTTGCTCTTCTTGCCGCCAGGGTAGGTGATGGTCTTGCCCTGGTCACTGTCAGAGTCATCGTCGTCGTCGCCTCCAGGACCTGACGAATGCTTGCGTGGGGGCGGCGACCCCTTCAGGGCTGAGAAACCGGACGTGGGGGGCTCGTCCGTGTCGTCGTAATCTGCATCAGGCTCGGCTGGCTGAGGGATGGAGGAGGAGGGTTGGAGGTGGAGTGTTGGAGGTGGAGGGTTGAAGGAGAGGAGTTTGAGGATTCCTCATTCAGGCATCCACCCCCTTCCCCATTTAACTTGTCTACAAACCGCCTCCAATATCCCAAATCTACCCACCCACCTTCATCACTCATTACTCATACATGTTGGATAAGGTAGCCTCCTACCCTCGCCCTCTTAACCTCTCCCTTCCCACCCACCGTCTGAGCACCCCTACACTTGGAGGAAGGATGAGTTAAAAGAGACAACACTGAATGAAGGGAAGTGTTAAAGAAATGTATACAGATATTAAAAGGTTCACAAACATGTCAAACGAATGGGTAATGGTCCCACACGGAATAGAAACATGATGTAACTGCACTCGCAGAAACAAATCTCTCAGGAATCGTAAGAAATACGGCAAATTTCTGTCCGTCTTACCTTCTCGACCGTTACAATGCCTGAGGGAGCAGTCGACGAAGCACCTTCATCTGAGTTAATGTAGCTTTTCAAGATGGATTTGGTTGGCGTCTTGGTGATAGGCGGCGGATCATTTTTGGGTAGTATGTTGATATTTGGATATATGTGAGGCGGTGTCTTGGGAGGAGGAGGAGACTCTTCGGGTTTCGTTAGAGACGGGTACATGCTCGAGGTGTGTGGCGCGGAGGATTTCGATAAGGAGGAGGAGGTTACCGGGATCACTGGATCGGAGAAGGAGGTGAAAGCTTCGGTAGCGGTGGTGGGTGTGGTGAAGGACGGAGGGGGCGCGGGTGAGGAGATGCCGTAGTACTCGGGAGTGCCCGGGTCCACTCGTCTCAACCCTCTCTGCTGCTGAGTCCTTACAGGAAAGAGCACAAACGCTTAGGTTAGGGTATACACAAGAGGATGATTCAACAAAACTCGTTTTCTGGTTGTCAAAATCATGTATGTTATTAGGGTTAGGATGTATTAGATTAGGCTGTTTTAGGCTCGGTTGGGTTAACTTAGGTTAACTTGGGTTAACTTAGGTTGGGTAAAGGTGGGTGTAATTGTTAGAAAATAAGCAACAGGTGAGGTAATAAAGAGATGAGCAACAGGTAAAGTAATGAGGTAAGCTGGTGGCTTCAATGCATGTTGTGAGGGGAAAGTATGAGTTTGTTGAGGATCTTTGTATGAGATGAATATTGAAGTTTGTTGAGGATCTTTGTATGAGATGAATATTGAAGTTTGTTGAGGTTCTTTATATGAGATGAACATTAAAATTTGTTGGGGTTCATAGCATGAGAAACACGTTAGAGTTCATTACACAGAGTTAATAAGTTAGTTTACTTAGATTCACGACCTGAGATAAACAAGGAAGTATGTTTATATTTATGATATTAGATAATCATTAAGGACAAACATGTCATGATAATTAATCATTTAAGAATGATAATTCTTAAATGATATGATGGAATGATATGATATGATGGAATGATAATTAATCATTTAAGAACATGAAACTTTAATTCAAATGATTATTTAAAGCAACTTTTTTTCTTGCTTAGCGCCTTGAATAATTACAGGAATTACGCTGTACGCCTTGTAATTGTACAATTACAATGACTACAGTGATTGCCATTGTAGCTGATTGTCATTGTAGCGGCAACAGGAGGCAAGATCAAATTCAAAAACACAAAAATTATTTATGTACACAGGGAAAGTAAGGTCATAGTTACTGTGAACATTGGAAACAATGTTTAGTTTAGTGTTGGGCCAATCAACAGCTGAAGGGTTGCTAAGGCCATCACAACAGCTTACTGACCAACCAGCAAGTATAGTTTAGTCCTGGACACAGACCAGGACTAAAGTAAACTTTCAAGTGTACATCCACCCAGAAGCAGTTTACACCTCTGGGTGCATGTAAACTTGTAGTACACTTAGTGTATATATATTTTTGTTACGATATGAAAAAAGACAAATCTTGAATACTGGTAGAACAAATTATTAAACGTTTGATTCATTACAAAAATGCGATTAGAAGCTAAAATAAATTGTGGATCTTGGATAATAATTCCAATAAACATAAAAGATATTGAAGATATTACCTATGAAACTTAGCATATATATTTGATTTTAATATTTTGTTATATAGATATCTCAAATAATTATCAATACTTTTAACTTAATAAACTGTCCAGGTACTGTGTGAGGAGGTCCCTGTTGGGTAACGGTAGGTCCCTGTTGGGTAACTGTAGGTCCCTGGTGGGTAACTGTAGGTCCCTGTTGGGTAACTGTAGGTCCCTGTTGGGTAACTGTAGGCCCCTGTTGGGTAACTGTAGGTCCCTGTTGGGTAACTGTAGGTCCCTGTTGGGTAACTGTAGGTCCCTGAAGGGTAACTGTAGGTCCCTGTTGGGTAACTGTAGGTCCCTGTTGGGTAACTGTAGGTCCCTGGTGGGTAACTGTAGGTCCCTGAAGGGTAACTGTAGGTCCCTGTTGGGTAACTGTAGGTCCCTGTTGGGAAACTGTAGGTCCCTGTTGAGTAACTGTAGGTCCCTGTTGGGTAACTGTAGGTCCCTGGTGGGTAACTGTAGGTCCCTGGTGGGTAACTGTAGGTCCCTGATGGGTAACTGTAGGTCCCTGATGGGTAACTGTAGGTCCCGGATGGGTAACTGTAGTTCTGTTTGAGTAGACTAATCCAAGATAATTAACATGGGCGCTAAGCACTAAGTCGGAACGACTGTAGAGCACTTGGAAGAAATATGACAATGAAAGAAACATGACAGGATATGCACCAAGTGGTGCCTAACCACTTGGACCATCGGGGATCGAACGCCGACCGTGCAAGAAGCGAAACCGTTGCTTCGCCGACCAGTCCAATTGGAAGGAGACAATTAAGATGGGCCACCCTTTTCGTATCTCCCATACTGTCTCACGCGCCACGTCTCTGCACAACGCTTCAACGGATGGTTGTATTTCTACATACATTCATTCTACTATTCTACATTCTACATTCATTCAAGAATATTGTTTCACCACTAGAGGGTTACGGAGCCTTACCGGAGTTACCCGCACTCGTAATACATCACGAGTGCGGGTCTTGTGACCTGCACTCGACATACTTTTTTTTTTATTATTATTTTCTGCCACAGACGTGGCCAGACATTTACAATGCTAACCAGCATATATAAATTTTCTTCTGTCCTCCATGGACAGGGTAAGAGATGTGTTAAACATATAGTTCAAGGGGTTCATTGAACAATCAACCACAGAAGGTGATTCGATGCTTTTAAAATGCTAAGCTAAGATACACTGTAGAGCTTATGTTGGACTTCAGGATTTCACTCGAATAAATCTTGGGAACCTGCACTCGAGAGTTTCAGTGGAAGTCTAAGAATTCACTCAGGAATGTATATCACTGGGAAGGGAAATACATGTGCAAGGTTTGCTTACAAGTTGTTTCATAGATTACGGTTGATAGTTGACAAAATAATACCTACTTTGGTGATTCGCTCTTGCCGAAAGACAGTGCACTCATAAACAGTGGCGGGGAGTCCCGCCTGCCGAAAGTGCCCACACCATTAGTGGCACTGTTCACTGTTCCGTTGGTTTTATGACTGCTGGACCTCCGGGACTCTCCGGCACCTCTGTAACAAGCCAAAGTTTAAATAGACTCAAATAAAATTAGTCCTGGGAACAATACAAGAAATTTCCACACTCTACAATAATCATTGCCAGGAATCACTGACGTTACACACTATACTAACTCTCTGTTTCCTTTATAATCGCCATACCCTAATCCAACTTAATATAGCACCCCCAATACCATGAGCCTCTATTTTTTTAACCGTAAGCAGCTCATCTTTTTTTAGAAGTCCAACATGGTAAAATAAAAATCACAGATCAAATGTAAAAATATCCTATCCGGCAGTTGCAGCACAGGAGGTATTTGCAAATGACGATTGGAACCCTGTTAGGGATTAATCACCGTGGGTATGAGATCTGGGGAGAGATTCACCAAGTAGTTACGCAAGCACTTACAAACCTGTACATCTTTCCTCAATCTTTGACGGCTTTGGTTACATTAATTAAACAGTTGACAAGCGTGAAAACTTGTCAATCAACTTTTGTTATTGTTATAAACAGCCTCCTGGTGCTTCGGAGCTCATTAACTGTTTAATCATTGTAAACAAAGCCGCCAAAGATTGAGAAAAGATGTACAGGTTCGTAAGTGTTTGCGTAAATGCTTCGTGAATCTGGCCCCTGGTGCTTAGGAACAAAATATAGGCCTAGGCTATAATAATCAATTATAGAAGAATGTCAAAGATTCTAAGCAGAAATATACAATAGCTTTGAAATATAATTGACTGGATGACTTATTCTTTCTAGCTGAAAAGAAGGCTGTGTTTTAAATGGCTAAACAGAGGACCTTTTTCAGAAACAAACATGGTTAAACAGAGGACTTTTTTCACAAACAAACATGGTTAAACAGAGGACCTTTTTCACAAACAAACATGGTTAAACAGAGGACCTTTTTCACAAACATGGTTAAACAGAGGACCTTTTTCACAAACAAACACGGTTAAACAGAGGACCTTTTTCAGAAACAAACACGGTTAAACAGAGGACCTTTTTTCAGAAACAAACAGTCAGGTGTTTTTCTTAACATCTGAATTGTCTTTCCTTACCCTTCGCGGTCATCACTGAAGGAGAGGTTAGGGTAGGCTTGCCCAAGTGTGTTGATTGGACGCGGTTCTACCTTAGTCTCGTGGCCTCTCTTCTTCCTAGAGATCATGGATGACATTTGAGATATTTGGTGCTGCTGTTGCTGCTTGGAGAGATTATTGCAATAGGAGAACATGTCCTAAGTGAATGGGAAATCCGGTATACGTATATATATATATACGTGTGTATATAT